TCCATTCTTAAAAAAATTGTGCCTTTTGTGCTTCGGTTCGGCTGCGCCTCCTTTTCTTTGAGTAAATATTTTTGTGTAGAATTCAAAAATTTCTTAAATAATTTTTAATTTTTGAATGAAAACGAATAAGAATCACTAAAAACGAATAGAAATCACTAGTAAAAAGTATGAGGTTTTAGTTTTTAGTACTTCCAATAAAAATCGAAGCTCCTCCATATTCGCACTTCATGAAAGTTAAGGCACTCGGAAGTGGCCTGAGAATTAAAAAGTACCAGGAGCAACCATCTGCTGGTAAGGCTACTGATGGCTCTATCTTTCTAGAGTTGCACAGAAGTACGTTTGTAAATTATTCAGAAAAACTAAGCTAGGCTCTCTATTTTTTGCTTAATTTGGTTACTGCCCAATAGGTTTTAGCATTTCCAGTTAATGAATCCGCCTTTGAACTCAAGCTTATCGCCCTCGTTACACAAGCGATGCTTCAATCTTTTGACGGCAAAAATGAATATTCGCCTTCTTCTTGGGTACACCATTACATATTCATAAACAAGACGCAATAAACTATACAGAGCACGATCTTGTTGGATGGACAAGGCTAGTACTGAGAAAATGCTGGCCGCGATCCTTGCCAGTACTTGAGGAGTTGTGTTCCTCCTTCGAAGGTAAGCTCAGAAGCGATGGTGTGGATGGCCGATGAATCTGGATACGAATATTGCCAGCGTTTTTGAAGCGTTGCAAGCCATGTGTGCATGACATTATTAATGCTGCAATGCGTATCAAAAATCAATTTGTTTTCACTACTTATTATTTTGATGCTCTGATCAGCTGTTGTTGCATCGTCACACTCTTCCTGTTACTGATGCAGCTGTTAGTTTCGCCGCTTCAGTCTGGTTCAACAGCTGGTTCATTTGTTATCTCTCATTCTTGCCACATGACCAATCCAGTTCTTCATTCTGGCCTGCGCTAATATCTCCTACACTTGAGTTTGTGAAAGCATGCCAGTGACACAACTAGTAACGGATTTCCGTGTAGACTGTCCAAGCTATCTACCCTGTGGCAAGCCGCGTCGTATTTTTGTAGTTTCCGATCCGAACCACTTTCGCGCTGCATTATAACGAGCTGGGTACGCGACCGTTAGCACAATTTTGCCCTCTTCACTGATAGCAGTCCTCCAGCTGCATCGTCCGATACGCAGCTTGGTAAGGGTCATGGCATCCTTCAATCCAGATAAAACTTAAATCTTGCCAATGAATATGTTTCGGGGGAAACTGTTGAGTTGGCTTACTTCCCAGGAAATAGAACGAGCGTTAAGTCGCTCCGCCCAACGATTCCCTAGAGAGAAGCAATCTGGCAGAATGAGTACCAGCTTAATGTTTCCCTAGAGAGAAGCATTTTGGCGAGACTTTGGCCATTTCGGGATATTACTGAGCAGCACTTCAGTGTTTCGAATGTTGCCGTTTCTAGGCCACTTTGAGGTGCCTTTCTGGGTAGGAAGCACTATAAATAAACTCTTAACTGGCAAGTGAACGTCAATTACTTTTAGTATTTTACTCCTGAATTAGATGCTGAGATACTTATACATGGATTAAACGGGTTTATAAAGGTTAATAAATGTTGATATTAATGAATAGCGGAGCATATTAATAATATTAAAGACTGAAACCTGTAGTATATATAAACGTCAGAGATTGAGCGGCGACTAAGACGTTTCGGTCCGTTAAGCTATATGTGTCTTGACTCAGAATTATCGCCAGCTCGAAAACAGTGGCAAAAATTATTTTTATATAAAAAATAATAAAAGATAAAAATTAATGCTTTAAAAGTAAGATAAAATTGTAGGAGAAAAGTGGGAAAGCACGGTGAAAAGGCAATTTCCGACCCCAGTTCTTAACCCATCTTCAGCAGGGTATACGATTACAGTTTATCAAAGCAGCTGAAAAAAAAACAGGATGACGTGATGAACTAACCAAAAACCAATACGATTACTAGGCCACATATTGGAATAATGACGAGAAGCAGGAGGAAAGTTTTGCTGTTGGCGTGCTGGACGGCGAACGTCTCATCGTCCCTCTCACTGAGCGCACCCAACGAGCGCAACGTCATATCACTTAACATCATGGTACCATTCCACTGAGCTGCGAACATATCACGTGGCTTCATCGCAATTCCGCAAAAGCTAACAGCTTCAGCATCGACCGACCCCGCATGCCAATACCGCAGATTCTCATAACCTGTAAAACTGCAAAAACGTGAAAAGTGTGCTGTCTGATACGGGGGTAAACGAGACTACGTCTTGTGCGGTATCAGCAATTAACATTAGATGCCAAATCACTTGTTAGAACTAAGCATGATATATAAAAAGTAAGTATTACCTAATATACCTAACATTGGAATATAATGGAAATATTAGAGACTAGAACCTATATTATATATGAAGAAAATGATAATTTAGCTGACATTGAGGCATTCCAGCCTATTAAGCTGCATGCATCATAACTTCATATCTGAACTTCTCCCGTACAGTGGTCGTGGCATAAATTATTATCGTCATTATTATTATTGCTACTATTATTATTACCATTATTAATATTATCATAGCACAACAAGTAAAACAGAAACGGACGGAAAAGAGAGAAAACCGAAACTGCACGAGAAGAGCTGGAAGATAAGCGTAGAAGGCAAGCAAATTCAATTTATTTTGATGTTCTGACCAGCTGTGGCTCATAGCGAGAATCTCCATCTAGACAGCTGGTAATTTCTCAAATGCTTTGACCCGTGTTGCATCGGCTAGTGGTCATTGTGCTGGTGATCCTGGCGATCGCTTGTCTGCTAAAGGGAACACCATTTCGATAGTTTTTTCAACAAAACCACTCGGCAAGGTTTTAGCTGTCCCGAAATATCAGTGTGCTTTAAATATCGCTGCCTCGCTCGGATCCTTTCATTCCTAGACAAAGGCCCCCTATCAGCCATGAGACAATAGTCTTGGGGAAAACGCATTTTGGGGCATTTTGGAGAGAATGAATGGGCATGTTACAGCAGAGAATGACCATTTGCTTGCGGAAGCACTTAATATAACTAAGCATTTTATTTATGCTTTTGTACTTGTATTATTGCGAACTTCACTTTTTTAAATCATCCCAATACGTTGTTTTCAGGCATTACCGTCAGCTCGCAATAATTATCTCCACAAAAACACTCTGAAAGCCCTTCTGCTTTGAGAAACAAAATCTATTACTTTGACTGGCTTTGTTTTCCATTTTTTATTACTCTATATTTTCTTCAATATTTACTAGATTTCACTTCCTCTTTATAGTCATTTATATTTTAACTATTTTTAATTAATCGACATCATAATCGTCGCACTGATGAAGTGCTGTATAGGAACGGAAACGAGTTAATGGACCGAAACATTCCTGTTCAGTTGATTAATTTTTTAGTATTAATTTTGGCATTATCAAAACTCACTATAAACGTTTTAAATTAAAAAAGTTTTAAAACTGCCACCACTGAAAATTTTCCATATTTTTTTTACAAACTATCTGACTGCTGTGAATATTACCCGCAAAGGTCAGTAAAAATTGTGGAAGTGTCTACTGCTTGTGATGGCGTTACTCTACACGATGAAATTCGTGTACGTGGCTACACAGACATACAAGCTCTAACTATAAATACGGAGCGGAACGCCGACAGTTATGTCACGATTTGAAGGATCCGGAGATAATGAAAATGGGTAGCTCAGTTCGTCTTGATGCACGTGCTCTGCAAAAGTGGCTCCGCTTGCAAAACTGACTAATGCTGTATAAAGTTATGCAATTTTTCCTTGAAAAATGACTATTTTAATTTTAATTTTAGTTGGCATGTGTTTATGTAAGGAAATAAATAAATGGCAACGCGCACCAGACTAGCCGGTGCGATCATGCGTTTTGTGCAATTCAGCCTATCG